GTATAATCAGGCCTGTATTCATGTTTCACATTTAGCACTAAATGTGACTGTCTCATTCTGAATGCGTTATTTATCTGATATCAAATATCAGAGTTGCATTCAGTATTATCATGGACTGATCACATGGCCGCATTTGATGCTAAGTGTGCATTGTGTATATGGACCTTTTAATGCACATGTGCATCGCAAACAGTAACTGGATGCATAAGTCGTTCCATGTCCATGCATTTGTTTTTTGTCGTCAATTATATTTTAAAACGAATATCATTTCAGAATATGCTTTTACAATCTAATTTGTGGAAAACTTGTTAATAATTGGAGATATACGACATAACATTTCTATCATAAGTAACAAGAATATTTTATGTGATGAAAACTTTTTATTGCAATAGCATATTGAATATGTATATCATGCATGGGGAATCAGATAAATTTAATGTACGTATACATGCGAATATTTTTTTCATTCTTTTCTTTTGTTTTCTACAGAGATTATAAATCTCCTTAGTATATAAATTAATTAGTTTTTCATGTACAAGAGATATATTGTAACTATTAAATTGTAGAACAAAAGATTATTTTTTAATGATATATAAATATAGGCTGAAATTATTGTTATTTAAGAAAAGAAAATGAAACAATAAAAATCTTTAAATTTATTTACAATTATATCTAAAGGAAAAAAAAACTGTGATTATAAATACACGATGCAATTGCCACGTGTTTGATATAATATCATGATATATAGTGATTGTAAGAAGATACATAAATTATCTAAAAGATGATGTTTGAAAAAAGGTAAAAATATCGAGAAATTATTTTCTTTTACTGAAAACAAATACTTTTGGGAGTATAAAGGGTGTAAAGAATATTTAAGCAAATTTTCGCAGACTGATCGACAAGTCTATTGATGGAAATGACAAACGCCAGTGACTGAAAACTGATGGTATGGATATGAAATACGATTTTAAGCGTCTCATACTAATAATCCGTATCATTAAGTGCGTTATTAGCGCAATTTTAATAACTACGTATTACAGGTAAGAGTAAAAATAGAAGGAGACAACGAACCTCAACCAACGATTCCACGAGAGGAGGGTCAGGTGCCCTTTGTCTTTGTTGGCACTGTCGAAAGCATCGCCAATGCCAAAGTTCTGTTGGAATACCATTTGGCACATTTAAAGGTAACTGTATATCAATGCACTAATCCTCTCTGAAATATTTCATATAAAACCGATATCCCAGAAAGGAGTCGCAAAATAAATTGCGAGTTTGATCATGGGATTTGATCACCTCGTATAATTTATGTAGGAAGTAGAACAACTGCGACAAGAAAAATTAGAAATTGATCAACAACTACGAAGCATGCACGGATCGACTACAGGACCGATGCCCAGCTTTCCTCCCACAAGACGAGGAATGGTTGCAGGACCCGAAGAAGGTATCAGCGGTCGTGGAGGTCGTGGTGGTCAGTCTCGAGGGCGCGGATCTCGGGGTAGAGCCCCTACCAGACACAATGCCGGTAATTTTATAACACACAGATAGATGGCACCGAGTTTTAATTACCAAAATAATAAAATGTAAATTTCGATAATTTGTAATGTAATATTTACATTTTGTAAAGGTTTTGCTAGAGAATTATTGTGTCGTTTATTTTGATTTGATTATGGTCTTTTTTGTATAAGGCATATCTAACAAATTAGTCACTAGATGATATGAATGCAAGTGAAATATTATAATTGTCTATATGAATTAGAAATTTAACAATTAACCGGGCATTCTTCAGGATTACGTAGAGATACTTTGGACGGCAGTGAGGATCGTGTTCGGGATTTACCGCCAAGAGGTGGTCATCAGGGAGCCGGTAATTCAGGGTACATGAGTGGTAGACAAGGTCGTCCTCCAACCCAACGTAGAGATCGTAGAGACGAACGTCGTCGTACTACCGATGACGAAGACACTGTTTTAGACAGCCAAGACGTTTCAAGCATTGATAGAGGTAATATTTATTGGTAACATGCATGCGCGCGCGCGTGCGTATGTGTGACGAGAGAAAGCAAGCGAATGAAGAATAGACGCATACATGTTGATGACAATTCTAACCGTTTCGTCCTAAAGACAAAGCAACGTGTGACGCGTATCAGAATGCTTTAAGATTGGCATGAAATGCGGAGCAAACTCTTGTGACCATCTAACACTAATGTTATCATCAAATCTATATGAATATATATTCTATTGCATGCTACTAACGTATGCAGTGCAGCTTTTGCTATCTATGATTAAGTTTATCTTTAAACGTCAGTTGCGAGTTCGAGACAGATGGTCACAATGGTTTGTGTATGTATAGAATCAGTATCGAGTGTGGAGGGAGGAGCTAAAGGAATAAGACGAAGACGACTTCGGCGTTCGCGGCAACGAAGCTCAACGCCAATGAGTGCTAGTCAGACAGGTAGGCCTATCTTCTAGTATAAAGCTCGCGTGAGCATTTCTTTAGGACGATCGGTTGTACAAAGAAACAGATTATATCCATTTTCCAGTGCTCGATCAATAGGCTGACGCGCACACTTGTACATACGAAAACATTCAGAGTTAATCTATAAATTTGTTTAGGCAGTAATGCCGGCCCGTGCGACCAATCAACAATGAATAGCAAGGAAGGAACACCCGCGAACGACGTATCCTTGTCTAACAACAGTTCGCAAGGACCTAAAGGCCAAAGAGAACATCGGTCTCGTCCTCCTCGTATGCAGCAGAGCAATAAGCCTAAAGAAGCTCTGGTTAATGGTACCAGTGGCTAAGCAACCGTTGCGTTGTCGCCAATTGCTACTAACGTTGCTACGTTACACCTGATGAGAGCTATTAACTCCCAGCACGTAACATGACGCATACCGACGCAAGGACTACACGATTATGGAACGCGACATGATTAGTCTACGCTCGTTGTTAAGACTGTTTGCTACCGATAAGAATACGACAGTTGTTTAAGAAATCGTCATTCTCCTTAAACACATTTAAGGACACATATTAATATCCATGCATGGTTTAGTTTAATGATGGTAATTACACTGTCATGTTTGATATACGGATACATTCATTGGGAGATAGAGGATAGCATTTGGTAAGAAGGATTCCCTGATTGTGAAACTGTGCCTCATTTTTATACCAAGCTCCTAACTTATGTGGCAGTGCTTCGGATGTACCGTACGCGGTACACCTTGGTCACTCGTTAACGTTTAACGATCCAATATTAGGCTGGATAATCGCGGCTCGTACGTCAATTATCGCTCTGGATAAGTTTTCATCTAGATATGTCGCTCAGTACTTATATAGAATACAATATTTGCAGTGTGCTCCCGATATCATTCCATGATGTCGAATTTATTTAGTTTAGCTTATAATAACCAAATTAAATGGCACCAAATTATTCTACGTACTTTTCATGAATGTTCCGTATTAACGTAAAGATATATCTAGTTGCTTTGATACTTTATTACTTTATATTGACGTAACCTCGTTATTCTGATGCGCTATATATCGGAGATAATTATGAAAACTGAAACGAATGCGACATAACTAAGATGCAACTCGACGCGATACCAGGAAAATGTGTATGGATTTCCGTTGTTAATTATAACAATGGTAGGCGGCAGCTCTAAGAAATTCTGGTTCAAAGGTGTTCCCAATGATGTTCCTTTCTATTTACTTGAGGAAATTGAGTTTTTGATTTACGATTATTAGTAGAGTTATTTAACAACACTAGATTTTTACGTTTCAAAGCTGTGTTGATTAATAGTATCATGATGATTGCAAAAATGACTTATTCGAATCTAACACGATCAGATGTGCACAAGGAGTCGGTTTTTATTTCCGAATACACTTTTCACGTAATTTAGTCTTTTCTTTCTCTTTTCTCTCTTTTCTTTTCTTTTAATTTTTTTTTACTTTTACTACAGTCTAAGCATACTATATCAAACTTTAGAATTCGATATCGAGTTTGTTTCTGCATTGTTTCGCATGATTTAAAAAGAAAGTAAACGTATACTTAGTAATACCAATGTATGATGTGCCAGAGAAGGAATGATACATGTTTTATGATATCTAGCTAAAGTGCAGACTTAGCGCATACCTTTATTACTATAATACTACTTAGTCGAAATGTGGATGTCTGAACAAATAAACTAGCTTTACTATACTAAGCTATAAAATAGATATGATCAATTGTTTTAAATTGATTATCAACATTATTAAAAATCAGTTATCAATTTAAAACAGTTGTTTCTTCTTCCGGATATGACAACAACTAATCGGACGTGTCTCATGAATTTTGCAAAAACACATGGCGGTTGATGCAATATATCGACACCTAACAAAACAGCTGTCATTTTATCTGAATATTCTTATGACAGCCAAAAAAACTGAGATATCCCCCAACTTGCTTGTTTCAGATACATTTGTATTGATTGCAATTTGTGCATAATTTAAGAATAAAACATTTCTGTACATAGACTGGCCATTGGTATAATAAACCTCCAATTTCCTTTAATATAAACGATGCTACCCGTTTTACTTTCAAGATTTTAGAAATTCTTCCATCCTCCTCCCTTTCTTTCTCACACACACACACACACACACACACACACACACACGTACGCACACGCAGCTTCATTTTTCCCACCCGTTATTTCATAATTACAGCGTAGATGCGTAAGTACAAGTAATTGGATTTAATATTTCAATTAAATTTACTTGCTTAATTATTTTCGAGTAATTGTTATTTCATCAAATTTAATAACTAAATTACAAGTTAAGAATATATGTTAAGAAAAGCATTCTTATAATCTTCTCATGATCGTTTGTAGTAATCTTTCTTTGTTTAGAAAATGTGGAAAATTGCAATTATTTTCAACGTCTTGAATATATTATGTATAAATATGTTACGCGTTCGTACAATTAGTAATTTATTTTCTACGCAAACGTCATTTTTTTCTGTTACACATTTACAATAAGTAATAAAACTCTCTTCTATGAATACAATAAAATTTAGACTAAGACCTGCGAGTTTAAGGGAAAGAAGTACATTGCTCATAATTTGCTATCGGTCCATTACATCTGTCCGTATACGTATAAGAGTTTCAGGTACAAAAGTGAGACGAGAGTTTAGCGCACATAGCGAGCGCTCTCGTACGATCATCAGTGTATGCCCAGATTCCCGCCGAGACCTTGTTCTTTCCGCCACTGAGCCAATCTGATAGCGTACCATCCCTAGAAGAAAAACCAAGAGTTGCAACGTATCTTTATCGATGTATCTCACTCGCTTGATTTGTTTCATTCAAATATCTCTCTTACCTTTATATCTAATATTTATTATACATATTTAATAGTATATAATTGATACGTGTTTACTTACTTCAACGTCCGCCTCGGAAAGACCTGTTTCAGCTGCGAGGAGTACAATGTCCGCGGTATAAGGTGCTCTTGGCCATCTGTTAAACTGCTCTTGAAGAACTGCTTCCTGATCCACCGTCAAACGAATCACTCGAGTACCACTGCTAGCTCCGCTAGTAGAATATCGCGCGGGGTAAGACCTCAGCATGTTTCCCTTATGAAAAGAAAATGTATTCCGTATTAATGAAAAGGTCAACTAATGAAGAAATGAGATGCAATGTAATACAATATATAATGCGACATAACATATATAATATGTACATATGAGCCGTTTATTTTGAAAGTGGCCTAAGTCCATTTGTCAATTTTTTGTTGTTGACTGTACTAGCGTGTACAACTTGAAGTTAGCTGTCATAAACAATATTTTGCGGTTAAGTATATTCAGAGTATACGATAATTTCTGACATATAAATTTTCGCAATTATTTCAATAATTAAAAACATTACTTTGAAAGTGGCCTAAGTCCAATCTATTATAATGTGGAAATCATAGACCACAAATTTTTAGTATTAGGACATTCATTTTTACCGAATGATAGAGATTTTGGCGTCGTAGAAATGTCATTAAAGAAAAATAATTTACTGTTTGTCCCCCAAGATTATTATAATGTTATCAAAAAGTGCCGGAAAGGTAATAACTTTATTCTAAATGAAATGAAACAAGAGGATTTCATATCAACAAGATTTTTGGAGGACGCAGTTTTTAAAAGGGTAAAGAATTCTAACGGAGAAACAATAAATTGGTTAAAAATATGCTGGATGCGTTTTTTGAGAAATGAACCATATAAAATTTTCTATAAGATATCAATGGATGAGAATGCAGAGTTTAAAATCCTGGATTTATTACCACGTCGGGGTAGACCAAGAAAATTCGAAAATATTGTATTGATACCACTTTATAAAAATATAAGACAAATTTCAACAGCGAAATACAAGGACATGATGGACTTACTACGATATATACTACCGGAGCACCATGACTTCTTCAAATCCCTCCCGCATACACAAAATGTAGATGAGCAGTAAATTGTTATGTAATTTATATAGTTAGAAGATTTCCTGAATTGCATAAATTGTGTTTTTGAAGTGTTGTAAAGAAATAATATAAAATAAATTGAGTATTGTTTTTTCAATTTGAAGCATTTTAAATTGTCGAATGGACTTGGGCTCTTTCAAATTTTATAACAAATCTAGTTGTTAATTTTGAAAGTGGCTTAACTCCATTTGTAGTAAGAAAACACATATTATTCACTTAATAATTGCTATTATTTTAATAGGAATTGTAAATTTAACTCTCTTAGATACACTTAAGCAGTGTGACATGTTGGTATCCTATACGTATATTTTTAATTTTATTGAAACGCAAACTCTTAAATATCTCAATTTAAAAATAAATGGACTTAGGTCACTTTCAAAATAAACGGCTCATATATAATATGTTGACAATTTTGGTAGATCGAGGCTTTAACACTCCCCTTGAGCTGTTTATTTCTTCTTTTTTTAAGTTCCGCTATATATATATATATATATATAGTAGATAATTATTATTTATAATTAAATAATTGTAAATAAAATTAAAATATGAGTGTTTGCACCTCAAGAAAGAAAATAAAAGTGCGGTATATGTGTATTATAAACAAAATACGATAGACACTTTTTAAAAATATTTAAATTAAAGCAGCATTTATAAACTTGGGCTGTAAAGAATCTATAGTTTCAATTCTTTAAATGTGACGTTTATTTCTTTCGTTTGACATGGACGTACAATTCCAAGCTGCGTGATAACACTATCTACTAACAAAGGTTCCTCTGGAATAGATGAAACGGAACAATAGGTAATTAGTGAGAAAAAATGATTCACATTATGACGTGCCGCGAATAGATTTTCTATACCATTTAGAGCGACGAATACATGTGCTGTTCTGTCATAAAATGCGCTTACTCGCACACAGATCTGCTTCTCTTACATAATGACTCCTTGTTATGCCAGAGCCATATTTGCGAAAGCTGCACTCTAATCAAGTGCATGTGTTAAGTTTTTTCATAAAGACGCTATAGTTATGTACATATATTGTACAAACTTGTACATATAGATAGCTATCGAGCGATAAATCTTTATTTGCGATCGAGAAAAATTTTGTTTCGTTTTATTCGTGATAAAAAAGGTTTTTAAGTATAATTATGATCATATCGTAGGATAGGCGTGCCAGCGTTAAAAATAGCACGACCGTGACCTAACGTCAAGATTTAAATTTGGACAAGTTTCAAAAACGTGGCAACACATTTGCGAAATAAACCAAAAAGACTAACGCAATCCGCAATAAACAGACCGCGACACGTGCGTGGGTCCAAGGAAAAGATTCAAGAGGAGAGGAAAAGGGGAAGAAAAAAAAATTGGCACGCTATACTAAATGTGTAAAGAGCGGTAAACCAATGCGACAGAATGTCACGAACTGATATTTTCTTTTGTGAAATTAAAATTCGGCGCTAGATACACGAGATAGAAAAACTTGAACGTCGAGAGCCTTTATATAGTTATATATCTTATCCGCGTTTCTTCGATATTACAATCGCGTAAAGGAGCACGGCAGTGTCTCACGCCATGTCTTAGCACCGAGACACTACCCTATAAGCGCATAATGTTATTTAATATTAAATAATATTTTACTAAAATTATATAATATTAAATAATATTCCTGAAATATATTAATGGATGGTTATATGTCCACTCCTAATAATATTATATGATTATTAAAAGTAACATTTATTTAATGTTACTGTAATATCGTATAAACATTAGAAAGTATTATAACAGCATTTACTTTAATT